ATGAGGCATGTCTGAACTCCCTCCTGGTGGCAGGCAATTTAGTTTTAGGATATTCCTTTGGCCATGAGGGGGTCCATTCAGTCAGCCAGTGGGGGGTGAGTCTCAAGATTTTACTTTAGTTCACACAACCTTACCTGCTGCTGGGTCTCCTATTTTTAAACACTACCAGTAGACTGGTAACTTTGGAGGACCCAACTAACAAGGAAACAGTGTTTTTAGCAAAATAGAGACTATATGGGCTCCCTTAGTCTAAAGAGAAATATGTAATCTGAGATACTGATCAAATACTCTTCGTCAAGAAAAATGAAAATATATTTGCTCTGAAGAGTGAGATCACACACATAGATTGGGTTGGCCTAGCATAAACTCAGCCTAAAGTGAAAGGATGTGTCCTCATTCACACAGCCAGGGACTGGGCCTAGAAATTTCCCAAGGCATCAACCACCACGGGACAGCGGATCCTCATGCATCTCCAAATGCTGATAGGAAAACATGCCAAAGAATACTGACTGAAAATTCCTATAACCTCCCCTTTTTAATATATCCCTAAAGAACTGGCTTAAAATGAGTCAGAATTATGAAAGCAACAGCACATGGAATTGTTTAACAGGATGTGCTATACCTCCCTTAACTATAAATATGAAACTTCTAAAGCAACACCTCATATATCCAGCATCATCAGGGTGAGGTATATAAGTTAGTTTTCCAACATAATCCTCTCCTATTCATTGCATTTTAAAAATATTTTGATTTAGTTCTTCTTAAAATACAACAAATGTGTATCTTATAGAAGTCACTGTGTCAAATATAATTTGACTTCTCTGCAGTATCTTTATTAGAAGTAAGAGCTGTACCTGGATATCTTCAGGGGTTACTAATGTGTAGACCTCTTCCTGATAGGCCCATTCTTCCAGGATTTTACACTTTTGTCTCTACCAATTACCATCTGACTACTGTAATTAGTAGTCTAATTTTAAAAACCCACCCTCCCTATTCTGGTTCCAAACCTGCTAAATGGGTAATGGCAGCATTTCCCAAGATGGCATTCCAAATATGTTCCCCAAGAAAGGATTCCCCAGGGAAAGAAGTTTACAAAACACAGATCTCTGGGTCCCCTGCTACAGAACTTCTCAGGGCCTTTACTGTGCTAATGTGCTCTATGAATTTCAAAGACTGAGGATTTAGTCTCTCCCCCAATAATGGGATATGAAGCAGCATTCTTCAAACATATTTAACCAGAGAAATCTTTTCTCCAGACTTCTTTTTGGAGGAGAGGACCTATTAAAAATTCCCAGAAGTTACATTTCAAAGAACCAATTTAGAAAACCACTGACCTAGAGAAATCAAATAAGTACATTAAATCAGCAGCTTTTTAGACATGATCCTACTTTAAAGCAAGCTCCAAAGGGCCCGTGGGTGGCTCGTGGTAATTCCTATACATAGAGACTATACATTCCTATACATCAGCCCCCTTTTCCTGCTAAGAGGAAACTTTACTGGCTCACTACCAAGTCTGTAATTGTGTTTCAGATGGTGAGATTTGCTGGAAGCTTAACAGCAGATATGAGGCCCTGCTACATAAGGTTTCATGGTCAGAATCAAATGAGCATGCCTGATCAGACTGTTTACCTGTTTATCCTCATCGTCCATTCTTTTGAAGGAATTTTTTTCCGTGGTTAAATATGGAATCTGAACCTTAGTTCCATGCAGCTCAGCTGGGTTTCCAAATCGTATCTCACCATCATTCTTTGACATCATAAAGCGAGGCAGAGGCAATTCTTTAGGACCAGAAATCAGAGAGGCTCAAGTGAGATTTTATTTAAAAACTGCAAAAAGGGGAACTCAATGGCCAAAAGATGAATCATTTTTGAGGAAAAATTCCAGAGTACTAAATATAGATTAAATTTTGATTTAGACACAATGAGGACTCCTATAATAATGTCATGATAGAAAAATGCTACAGTTTAACCAAGGTATTCTGGCTTAACATTTTTCAGTGTTGCCAAATCATTGCAGAACAAATTGAGGTTTGAGACTGATCTCTCACTTTATCCTTTAGTCCAACAACCAAGGAAAAGGATGTGACATTGTATAAATATAATAACAAGTGACAAATGGTAGCAGGTAAAATTTACATAGCACTTAAACATGCCAGGCACAGCATTAAGGATCAAATCAACTCATTTAATCCTCACAACTCTGTAAGGTAAAACTATCATTATGCTCCCTTTACAGCTGTGGAGACAGACATGAAGGAGCTAAGTAACGTCTCCAATATCACACAGCTCATCTGTGGCAGAGCCAGGGTTCGAACCCAGGCAAGCTGGTTCTTGACCAGTGCCCTACAGAAAGGTCCTTCATTCCCGGGGCAAACTTACCGGGTAGAAGTTTCTCATCCTATATATATTTTAAGGGATTTTCAAACTCAATCTATAGTTGTCTTTTCATAATGGAATAAGGAAAATGATACCAAGTCAGAGCAATCAATCTAATGCTCAGCCAAATTCTACTGTCAAAACCATTCGCCACTCACACTGATGCAAAGAGCTGAAATGCAACAGTCTGGTATATTTACTTATCTTTCAAATTTCTGACAAAACTATCTTGAAAATGGAAATGATGCTTTGGCACCCCTCTAGTCTTGAAAATGGAAATGATGCTTTGGCACCCTTCTAGTTCTCAGCACAGCAAATCACACACAATCATATAGCATAAAGACCTACAAAAATGAGGACAATATTATGGATTATGCATAATAATTTGCATCTGTATCCATTGTTCAGGATAATACTCATCAGTGTGCCCTTGTGCTTCCATCAACTCTCTATTCCAAAAACACAGCTGCACTTCCAATGATTGATGCTATGCTAAAGCCAGAAAACATCTTAGCAACAGCAAGGAAGTATCTGAGCTCCATAGGCAAAGAAGGTCCCTGGTTCTCTAATATCCACATCATGTTTATTTTTAGTTGCTATGTCCACATCTGATTCAAAGAAGCAGGAAATATGACAAATCTCTGCGTGATCAATCAGCCAAAGGCCTAAGAGACATAAATAGAGTAACCAATCTGGAAAATTATACCAAGACTCCACTCTAAAGAGAGAATGGCCACCATTTTTAATTTTTTAATGTTTCCCAACCTCAGGCAGCTCTCCAGCACTCAAAGCAGGAATGGGCTTCAAATGCAAAAAGGCAAGAGAAGAAACTCTAGATTCTCAGTAAATCAAATATAAGCTAATCCTATGGTTCTGTTCTGAGGAAGATATTTGTTTCAGCTCAGTCTGCAAAAAGGATCTAAAGAGATGGAACAAGATCACATAAAATAATTTGTACCCTGATCTGCCCACTAGAGGATGACTGTCTTGAGAGAGAAAAGAAAGAAATGCTCAGTATTTATAAGCTCCCTGGCCAGTGTTCCACTGGCATTCGACAGATAACTCCAGGGAACAATGAAATACAATCATGATATTATGAATATCAGTTATTATACTAGGACTTCAATCAGGCTCCCAGATACCCTTTAGAATATTGTCACTTCATACATTCTTCCCCCTTGGCTATGGCATTTCTCCAGAACTATTCCTCTAGGAAACCACCTCTCTCCCCCAGACAGCCACCAAACAGCAAAAGACAAATATAGCTGAATTTCTCTTATACTTTCTTTGGTCATGTGGTTTTAAACAACTCTCACTTACAGAATTGAAACCATATATAAAAATATTCTTATCATTGAAAATTTTCATAAAGGTGCCATTTCCCTTAAGCTGCTACAAGCTTTTTAAAAGCAAAATGTAAAAGTAGTTTGTAAATTTTTAGTCTGAATGTTTTTCCTATTCATATGTATACCAAATTTGATAGTGAAACTTTATTAGAAAATTAATCAATAAAGTACCTGCTATACCTGCGATCCCCAACCCTTGGGCCACGCATCACCACCTGAGCTCTGCTCTTCCCCTTCCTACTCCACCCCCCACTGTGGAAAAATTGTCTTCCATGAAAATTAGGAATTGGGTCACACAGCAAGAGCTTCATCTGTATTTATAGCTGCTCCCCATTGCTCACATCATTGCCTGAGCTCTGCCTCCACCCCTCTCCCCTCCCCCCC